GGCCGTTTTTACTTCTGTGACCCTGCAGGTTCCCTTTTTGTCTAATTCAATTGAGGTTGGGTTTCCCACCTCTGTAACTTCAGGCCCCAGCTGACCGAGGGGTTGGGATGGCAGAGCTCCAGCTACTGAGCTACTCAGCCCTGACTGAGGATGGCCTTGCAAAGTCTACACACCAGGAACACAGTTGGGGTGGGTGCTGCCCTTGTCCCTGTCCCCCTCCTGTGGTCCCCTGGAATCCGGAGTCCTGCCCAGGGTGGCCTCTGTCCCCCCAAGGGGGTTCCAGCTATTCACGGCTCCCTTTCAGCAGCGTGAGTTCCCTTCTGCCCTTTTTCACCTTGAGAAATGGTGAACCGGAGCACTTCATTTTCCTCCTCCAGGGCTGCTTCGTGTGGACGGCTCGGCACCCACGTGCAAGGCCGAGAAGGGGAAGTCGTTTATCTCAGTTAGCAAAGCACACAGGAGCTTTAAACTCCGGAGGCGCCATGCGTGTGGAGGCCCAGGACAAACGCCCGTGAGAGGTTGTGTGTGTGTATCTTGGTGGCATTTTCATCCGGGTCTTCTTCTCCTTCTGGTCCCCAAGTGACCAAGAGATTTTTCCAGACACCTCCTTACCTCACTGGTTTCCAGGCTTTGACCCCCATGCAGCCAAGCTGGCAACCCTAGTCCACCTCCAGAGTGTGCCCAAGCCGCCCATGTGCCTGCTGAGATGAGCCCCAACAGCCACCGTGGCCATCTGGATACTGACAACAGCTTCCTCCCTGACCTATGTTCACTCAGGCCTCTTGCTGTACACGGCCACCCCTGCAGGTAGCACGGGCATTTAAAACACAAACCAAATCATGTTGTCCTCTTGTCTGAAACCATCAATGGCTCCCTGTTGCTCTAAGAATAAAATCCAAGCTCTTCTTTATGGCTTCCAATGCCTTGCGTGACCTAGTCCCTGATGACTTCTCAGACTCTTCTCCCTCCAGTCTTCCCTGCTCACTCCGCTATAGGCACACTGACCACACTGTGTCTCTGGCTTGCCTTGTTCATTTCTACCCCAGGCCCTTTGTACCTGCTATTTTCCCCACATCTTTTTCTGGTGGTTCTTTCCCATCCTTCATGTCTCAGTTTAAACACGGCTCCCCATCCAGACTAGTCACTCTCTTCAGCTACTGTTTACCCCCTTTACAAACCTAAGCATTTAGCTAGCCCCTACTGTATACTAGCCACTGTTCTATTTGCTGACAATGCAGAAATGAGCAACTCAAAAAACCCAAAACCCTAGTTCTTATGTGTCCTTGGCCCTCTGGGGAGCAGATGAGAGGTAGACCGCAGGGGTGGCCTTAGTGAAGTTTTTATCTGTGCCTCATCCCCAGTGCCCAGGACCTCGCCTGGCCAAGGTGAGTGCTCCAAGTGTGTCCCTTCGGTCGGTCCTGAGCAGGTGGGAAGGCCCTCACAGGACGGGGGGATGAATTATAAACCCCAGGAACACAGATGGAAGCAGGGGCCACGGGCACATCCGCAGGGAGCGCCAGAAGGTGGCAGGAATCCTGGACTTTGTTCTGCATTCGGAGGGCCCCAAACCTAAGAACTAATGAGATGTTCCAGGTCTCTGAGATCATGCACAAGTTTCTGGACCAGAGAGAGTTGTAGCTGTAATCTGCTCTGCGTAACTTTTTATGACAGTGAGTCCTATGGTAACCAGGGTGCTCTCTGTTTTAAACGTGCCTGGGGTCTAGTTTCATGATTTTAGCTATTTATGAAGACCTGCCGAGGCACTTCTCTCTGGGTGCTCTGCAGATCCTGGAGCCTGGTGGTCACTCGCCTCCCTGGAGGGGCCCAGGTGTGGCCCAGGAACAGCAAAGGCTCTGATTTAAGGGCAGCCAGGTCCTCATGGAGCCCTCGGATCTCGGACGATTTCCATTTCACAGATGAAAAGCAAAGGGTTTGAGGTTTTTCTCAAGGTTGCACAGCCCTGCCGTTCATCCCTAGCCTCGATCTAGCTGTGACTGACCAGATCCAAAGCCTAGTCTTACTTTGGCTTTTATCACAGTCTTGGGCCACATAAATTATTCCAAAATGAACACTCTGGAGAGGCAAGCAAAGCAGTGTGAATAAAAGTTGTAATACCTGTCCTCGCTCAGCCGTTAATTTTGTGTCATTTGTGTGGTTCTGGAGAGTTATATTTTCAATGTATATGTGTGTAGTTTTATTAAACGAAGACCCTTGATACAATAAATGTTTTATAAGACCTGGAGCATAATTCCATTGCTGCTAAGTATCTGCTGCGGTTCAAAGTTGTATCTCTGCGTTTATGGCATACCGTGGCATAACGTTGCCCTACCTGTGAGCCGTCTGAGGCTGCATCCTCAGGGGAGAAAAACCCAAGCTGCAGGCCTGTGGGGGCCATGAGCAGTTCTGACTCCCGCCCGGAGATGGCGTCCAAGGACGGGGAAGTAAATACCCAGGCAGTGGAGGGCAGGGCTGGCAGGGCTGCCAGGGATCAGAGGGCTCAGGAGTCG